AAATGATTATCTCCATAAATTGAAAAAGCAAGGGAAAACAATCGTTCCTTCATTGTGGATAATTTTCCTCAATATCATTTCTTGATGAGTTTTTCATCTGCACTGTCTCCAAAAGATGACGAGCACCTCCTAATTGGTTGTTAATTTAACCAAATGGATCTGCATCCATGAGGTTAATACTGCCTGCATTCACAGGAAATGACGGGCCCTGTTCCAAACAGGAGCGCTGGCTGAGGCATCACATCTTTCCTCCCCGAGGAGATGCGGTAACATTAGTAATTACCTCCTGGACCACAGGGCCCGATATCTGTCCACCTTTTTAAGTCCATAAATTGAGGTCATTCAGTGAGAGGAACAGTGCAAGTTGTACAACACCAGTTTTAAAGTTGATAATTCAGATGAAGCAAGTAAATGTCCTCAATTAAAATATTACGTTGCAAGCTTTCCTTCTCTTTGTGTATATAGATATACATGTATATCTATATACAGATGTATATAATCTTGGATGTATTTGTTATGTAGTGGTGAAACTGCTGCAATTATCAAGAGGGCGCCTAAGTGTTTGAGATGGCTGACAGACTCATCTGGCCTGATGGCAACGACACAATTATTTCTATGTCTTTAATGATTGAAGCAATATAAATCTATCTAAAACTCTCCATGCAAACCAAACTGCATCAAGGATATATAACATCATACATCTTTCTGCTAGTCCAACCTCTATTGAAGCACCCAATATTAAAAGACACTTTCTGATTATCATACTGGCAACATGCAGAGCACACGTGTATTTCATTTAATTGAAGGGACAGTAGCCTGCAAGTAAAAGCAAGCACAATGTAAACTTATTGCGTTAACGTTCTGAAGAGGTTTGATGACACAATAAGCACCCAACAAACTAAAGAAATATGTTTTTCTAGATTGTAAGAGGGTACCCTCAGCCACAAAGTGGTCATCCACTCCTTCATGCAAAGCTTTAAAAAGCATTGTAGAGAACAGTACCATTAAAAAGTGCCGAAATTGGTAGTGGAACCAATCTACAATAATATACAGTACTTTCTGGGAAGAAGGAATTATGTCTGAATATTTTATATCAAGTTCAACTTTAACTTGATTTAATGAATTACATTTTGTACAGCCCAAAATCACATATTTGCCTCAGAGGGCTTTACAGTCTGTACACATGCAACATCCTGTGTCCCCAAACCCTGGGCACAGGAAAACCCCCAAAAAATAAAAAAAGGGGGTAGAAAAGAAAGAACGGCAGAGGAGGATCCCTCTCCAGAGATGGGCAGACTGCAGAGGATGTCATGTGTACAGAATGAACAATGTATGATACGTTCAATTCGTATGACAGAAATTATACCAATATTGAGAGTAGTACGCCAAGTGTACTGTCACACCTGTATGTCCAGGTGCCATCTCCCTTCGGAGAAGTTTTTTGTTTCCAGGGACCTCCCTGTGTTTTTCTTTATTGGACAATAAAAAACACCAGCTGATTACCTACTCTGCGTCCGAGTCCTCCTCAGAAGCTCCCCCCGTGACATGTACGGCGGGACCACTAGAGGAACAACCACCATCAGATGTGGCCCCCTTCAGATGTAAACACCATCCACAGAAATCTGTGAGGCGGGAAAGCACAAAGACTTCAGGAAAGAAGCAAGTCACAATGTTGGTTTATGAGGACAGTAATAGATCTGTTATTGAGCTGACTGCTCCATGCTTCTGTAAAAACACATAACATTGAAACCTTGAAACCCCCAGTCAACTCTGTCAAGTTAGTTGTAAAAGAGGTTCGTACAACGACGTATTTTGAGTCTGTCTTTATTTACCAACTCTGTACGGCAGCCCACGGCTAGTGCCTTCCATTTCTCCTCGAGCATCCGCTTCCCGCCACCAACATCACTTCCTGTTACTAGACAATAAAACATTCTTTACACTATTATTCCATAATACCACTGTTATGACTGGGGTCATATGTCTAGTGTTTTGGGGTTTCCTTTGTGTCTTTCTGGTTTCCGTTTATTCAAACAGGGTGTGCCACAACCAGGCGCGGATTGGTGGACGGTCTCCTACCCGTCCTGTGATTGGCTGTAGCCTGCACATAAGGGAAGCAAAGATGGCGTCCGAGGCAGAGCAGGCCAGAGCGGGGAGAACAGCAGCAGCAGCAGCACACAACCCTCGTCCTCCCCCTCTTCCAACCAGCCACTTGTGTCATACTGTGAAGCCTAATAAGTATGCCGTTTTTCTTTTGAGTTGGTTTTCTCCTGTTTTAAAGTAGTTAGGTAGGTAAGACTGATGTCATTATTTTTCTCCTTTGTTTTGGCAGGTCAGCGTCTTATTTTTAGCTAGGATCGTTTTTTGGTTTGCTTGTTATATTGGTGATGGGCAACTGCGAAGCCGTGGTTTGTTTTTACCCCAACATACCTGGTTTACTCAACCTAGCTCTTTTTTTCAATAAATATCCCCTATATAAACGCAAAGTGTGTGTGGCTACTTGGGAGACTGGGAAGATTGGGGTCTATCCATGTTGCACCTTAGGCACCCCTAGACTGGGGCGTAACAACCACAAACTCCAGTCTCAACTAATTGTATTTTACCCAAATAGACGATTGGCTTTTCAACCACAAGATGGCAGTAACTAATGAGGAGATAAAACATCTCTAACTGACTGCACTCTGGCTAACGTTAGCTGGCTAGCAAGCCGTCATATCTAACTTTAGCTAAATAGCTAATCAGAGCTAGGAAACGTAAGCTAACTTACTAAATCATTTCAAAATAATGAATACTTAAGGCTATCGCTCGCCGTAGGCTCGGTCATCTGGTGATGAAAGGACACGTATTCCTTGATGTTTTCGCTCCCCTTGACAAAGTCAGCAGAATAATTTTCCCGTGCTGGTGGACAACTGCCAACAACGGGGTTTTTTTCCATTTTTCTGTGGTCGATGGGTGAGTGGATTTTTTCTTTTGAACCAGAGATGGTGACGGAGGCTGGATTTGCTCTCCATGCAGCGCTCCTTCTTTGTTTAAGAACATTTGCTTCTTCTCGCACACGCAGTTGAGGCATATCAAAACATACTATGTGATATTGGGGGCAATTTTGACCTTTGCCCTTTAGTATTTACGACGCTGCGCTTACTTGCCTCAACGCTAACTAGTATGCAACCTACCACGTATCGAGTGTACCGCACAAGTAAAACAAATACTGGTTATAATTGCCGGTGTGCTTCATTTCAACAATTATATACTTACAGGGTATGTGTTCAATTCATTTTATTTTTTATAGCCCAAAATTGCAAATGACAAATTTGCCTCAGAGGGCTTGACAGTCTGTACACATACAACATCCTCTGTCCCGAAACCCACCATCGGCACAGGAACAACTCCCCAAACAATGAAAAAACCCTTCCAAGAGGGAAAAAAAGGAAGAAACCTTAGGGAGAACGTCAGGAGGGATCCCACTCCCGCGATGGACAGACTACAATGGATGCCATGTGTACAGAATGAACAATGTATAATACATGCAATTCCTATGACAGAAATGATTCACGTAATTGTGAGTAGTAAGCCAGGCGCACAGAAGGACCACTGCAGGGGCAACCACCAGAGACTTTAGGAGAGGGTAATGTTGGTTTACTTAATATCTAAAATAATAATGGTGATGATGACCTGCTAGGGGAGAAAGCACAAAAAAACTCCCGGAACGAAGCTGAATTAGTCATGTGCATTAATAAAACGTGAATTATGGTAGAACGAGAGCGTGAGAGAGGAGCTCGGTGTGTCCTAAGAAGTCCCCCAGCATTCTAAGCCTATAGCAGCTTAACTAAGGGCTGGTCCGGACTAACCTGAGCCAGCCCTAACTATAGGCAGAATCAAAGAGAAAAGTTTTAAGTTTTACTTTAAAAGAGCTGACCGAATCTGCCCCTTGGACTGAAAGTGGAACCTGGTTCCACAAAAGAGGAGCTTAACTGAAGGCTCTGGCCCCCAGCCTACTTTTTAAAACCATAGGAACAACAAGTAACCCAGCATCTATGGAGCGCAGTTGCCTTGTGGGGCAATAAGGTGTTACAAGCTCTTTAAAATACGACGGTGACTCACCAGCAAGTGCCTTGTAGGTGAGGAGAAGTACCTTAAAATCTATTCTTGATTTAACAGGGAGCCAGTGCAGAGAAGTTAATACAGGAGTGATATGATCCCTTTTCTTAGTTCTCGTTAATACACATGCTGCAGCATTCTGAATCAACTGGAGAGGCTTAAGAGATTTACAAGAGCAGCCCGATAACAAAGAATTACAGTAGTCCAGTCTGGAAGTGACAAACGCCTGAACTAATTTTTCTGCATCACTTTGAGACAGGAAGTTCCTGATTTTTGATATGTTACGTAGATGAAAATAGGCAGTCCTTGAGGTCTTCTTGATATGCGAGTTGAAGGTCATATCCTGGTCGAAGAGAACTACCAGATTCCTGACGGTGCTGCTGGGTACCAGAGCAATTCCATCCATAAAAACTGTATCACGTGACAGCTGGCTTCGAAGGCGCTCTGTTGTTCATGCCGCTCTGGTTTCGTAGAATATCTTTGCCTCGTGTTGCATTCGTCAAAACTCTGTTAGCGTCTCAGAACTACTATGCATTACTATGTCCTTGAAGCATCTTTTTAACCGTACAGTCCGTCGTTTTTGACGTTTTAAGTTATATTAAATAAGTTTAAATTATGTCCTCGCGTAGACCAAATGTTGCCGATTTCATTCATATGAAAATCTTAGTGACAGTTTTGTTACTCTTGAAATCACGTCTAATCAGTGGCTGCTGGTCCATAGAGGGCAAGGGGGCGTGGCCTCACCTTAAGCCACACAAACAAAACATTTAAAATTTAATTAAATTTAAATTTAATTAATTAAAATTTTCTTTACATTTTATCCAAAATAATTAATTGTGTGTTTTGTGGGGCTTTTGAGTTGGTCTTTCCTTTCTTTAACGGGTGTGGTTGTCCACAAAGAACATCCCGCTAAGACGCCAAGAAGCTTGCACCCAAATCATCAGTCCATACGAGATTGACTCCATCATCAGCCCTTCTGCTGTCCGTCTTAAACTCCCAGCTTCTATGCGTATCCATCCCACTTTCCATGTGTCTCTGTTAAAACCCCTTTTCTCCAGTCCACTTTGCCCTCCAGTCAATCCCCCTCTACCCCCCCCGGGTCGTGGACGGTCAGCCTGTCTACACGGTCAATCGGATTCTGGATGTTCGACACCGGGGTCGCGGTTTACAGTACCTGGTACACTGGGAGGGATATGGCCCAAAGGAACATTCTTTGGTCCCTCGTCAGTTCATCCTGGATCCATCCCTCATCTCAGATTTCAACAGGGCCAGGAGGGGTGAGTTCTCCGGCATGCTGGGGCAGCGTTGAGGGGGGGGGTACTGTCACGATCATGCTTGGCTGTTGCTGTTTTCTGAGTCTTAGGTGAGGGCGGGGCAGGTTTCCTGGGACGGAGGCTGGATCACTCCTGCCATCACACCTGCTAATAATCAACCCTCGTCTGAACACCCTTCTTAAGGATCTGCAGGAGCTCCAGTCTTCGCCAGATTATCTTGCTTCTAGAGTGGTAATACGGCTTCCACTTATCGCTTCTGAGAGAAGCTGTTTCCCGAGTTTTGACATTTCACCTTTTGTCTCCTTACCTAGCTTACCTCCCGTTGCCGGAATCGGCTACACGTTTGGAGCCTTCACCGCCTTCCGCTTCGCCCCCTGCCTGCTCGCCCCACCACGGACTGTAGCCTCAGCATACAGCCAGCTCCCTCCTCTCCTATCTGGACTCCCCTCTACTACATGCCCCTCCTTTCCTGAGGGTCCTCACCCCCCACCCCCCTGAAGATCTTCAACATTTCTACCCAATAAACATTGTTCTCACTCCCACCTCTGCCTACAGTATCTGCATTTGGGCCCTCACATTACAGGGGACGACTAGTCCAGCTAGCCGTGACAATGTAATGTAATCCTGAATTCATGTATTTTTTCAATTCTATATACATTTTAAAAGTAATTATTTTGTCATAAAGAACAGGGTAAGGATGCGTGTAGCTCCTAGTGGTAATACAATCTTAAGGATACCTATCATTTCAAGGCCACATTCTAAGACACACTCGGAAAGCGAGGGGGTGAGCTGAATTTTTTTACTGCTTGTAGTGTGCAACCTCGCCACTAGATATCACTAAATCTTATACACTGTTTATTAAGAAAATTCCATTAAAATCATTAGACTGTTTTCCCAACTAGATTGACAGCCTCTGTTTTCTAAGAAAGTGTATAAAACACCTGCATATGTCCAAAGGCAAAACTGTCAGTTAACTTTTTTCATTTTCAAACATTAAAATGAAATATTTTTGTTGATGTTGTTTGGAATCATGAGCAAAAAGAAAGTGGTATAAGGCTCTTAATTTTTAACTTTAAAAAACATTTTACAAACCACTTTGAGTGTGGAGTGAACTTGAATAAGCAAGCAAGCAAACATACTACATATGGCTGCTATCATTTTGTGAATGTTTTGAAAAGCAAATCAAAAACGTTAAACCAACAGAATCAAACTGTGCCCAACTCCTAGTCATCCCTAATATTCTCTCCTTGATTAACAATGGGTTAATATCTGGTATCTTATATTGAAATCTGAGAAGGTGGCCCTCTATTGGCTCATCTTATCTGAGAGTTGTTTAAGGAGGCCACAGAGATGAGAGAGGTATAAGCAACCCAGATATTGGAAGAAGAGGGTTACTCGCAATCACCATTAGTCTCTAATAAAATGCTTCCCCATTCTCTACTTTTTCTATTAATATTCAGTGCAACCGGCTGGAGTTTTTGCCCTGACCCAGACCATCCCACTTTCCACTGGGGCCTCTAATCTGTCGCTCATAATTAGACTGATAAATAGCCCCATCCCCATCTGCTCATCTTTTCTTCCTCTCTACCTTTATATTTTCATTATCTTCTTATCCTCTTCTTCTTATGTTTCACATTTTTCCTTTCTCACTGGTTTCTGTGGGGGCTACCAACACTGGGTTTGAACAGATGTACCAATCATCTGGTTCCTCTAATTTACTTATAAACAAATACATTTCTTTGCAATTTGGCTGGTGGTCTTTGTCGTAGCAGCAGCAGAACATCTATAATGTGGGATTTTCATCCATATCTTTTTGGTCCAGTGACAGTGGAGAGGCGTCCACCGGTACTCTTGACAGGAGTTCATGGGCAGATATTGGCCATGAAGTTAGCTGGTTTAGAGTGTATAGTGTCAGTGGTTATCATTAATATGGTAAATGCCTTTATCCGAGATATAAGGTTAAGGATTAAACTAGCATGAATGGCTACATTTCTCAACAGCAGAGGACTTTACTTTTGCACTTGCAGTTAGCAAAGTCAGGTCCCCTGGTTTGCTATGGGGCCCTTAGCAGCTGCTGCTGAAATCATTTTGCCTTGGGCATTTAGGCTCCTTCAATGTTTTTAATGAGATTATCTGCAGTTCCAGTTTGATGAAATCTGTTTTTTATCCAGTGCGAACTGGTTTGATCAGGTCTCCAAATCTGCAATGTAGTGTTGTTATTGGAAGATGTGTGTAATGAAGGGAGGGTGGGGTGTTGGGGGTTGTTAAGGACGATCACTGCCCCTGAGGGTAAGAGCTACATGCAGACATGCAGAAGAGGAGGATTCATGTCCATGAATCTCAGTAAAATCCACGCCTGTCCCTTGGATTAGCTGCATGCCAGAGAGACAAACCAACGGAGGAAGAGAGAGAGGAGCGTTCATATTGATGAATGTCTTCACACAGTGTGTGTAAGACAGTTAGGGAGCACAGTCAGCTGCTAGTGTGCACGTTACAGCGTTCATCCGCCCTCCACGCTGTCCTGGGCAATAGGATGGTTCGTTGTCTCTCTCCTCCATCAATCCCAGCTCGGAAAGCCTCACATTCTTTGCAGCAGATCTGATAACCGCCATACTGGATAACATCTAGTCGCACTCATCCCTAAGAAGTCCTTCTCTGGGGTACACTGCCAGTGCGGATCTCAGCATTAAAATATAATTTTGATGGTCATTATTAAGATAAGGCTTTGTGTTCGTTTTGGCAGAAGATTACACTGATAGCGTGAGAGCTTAGAACAACTCTCCTTTCGAAGGACTCTCTTGTTCAAAGTTAATAGATGAAAAGAGCCCCTCTTGGCCAATCACTGGGCTTGTTACCAGAGGCAAAAGGAGGAAAAAGTGTTAATCCTAGATGGGATGTTTTCCAGGAGTCTCCATGTTTATACTTGCCTGATGCTAATGTTTTCTTGTTTATGTTCAAGTTCCTTAGTTGAAATATTAACATCCATGTCTCCTTTTTCTTCCAGATAAACTGGAGAAAGAAAATGACTGTGCTTCTAGTTTTCTTAGGGGGCAAGGACTGCAAGTAGCAATTATTATCAACATTTGTGATATGCCCACTTACCCATTTAACGGTTTGTTTCACATCCTGTCTGATGGTCCCATACATTGTCTTTCCCAGTATTTTGGACCTCCTCTGAGAGGAACCCACATGAGTTAATCCAACCAGCTCTACAGCTAACCTCTGACCTCCTTAAGGAAAAAAGTGTCTCTTTGATTTCATTAATCATAAAACCGTGTGTGTTCAATTATCTCACTCTTATGCCTGGCACTTCACTTGATTTTTATGGCCTTTTTCATACATATGTCTTACAGTAAATTTGATTTCAATCTCTTAGCGCAAACCTTATTTTGTTGCCTTCTGTCATTTCTGAAGGTGTTGAAGGATGAGATAACGTAGATGAACACTATAAAACTGTTATTAGGCCGCCTGACACCTAACAAGAGACATTAGCTGAGAATGCAGCAGAAAGTAGCACGTAGCACCAACAGCCAGAAATTCATATGGATTAGTACGTTAGATGGACTCTCAACTGTATTAACAAGCATGCATCAT